GAGTAGCTGGGATTACAGGCACGTGCCACCGTGCCCAGCTAATTTTTTGTATTTTTAGTAGACGGGGTTTCACCAGGTTGACCAGGATGGTCTCAATCTCTTGACCTCGTGATCTGCCCGCCTCAGCCTCCCAAAGTGCTGGGATTACAGGCTTGAGCCGCCGCGCCCGGCCTGAGGACCATTTTTATACACCACGGTGATAATAGCATTCAATTACTTGGGAAGCATTTTACATTTGCTAAAGAAACAACAAGAACAAAAAAAGATACATGGGGCCAGGTGAGGTGGCTCACATCTATAATCCCAGCATTTTGTGAGGCTGCAGTGGCTGGATCACTTGAGGTCAGGAGTTCAAGACCAACTTGGCCAACATGGGGAAACTCTGTCTCTACTAAAAATACAAAAAATTAGCCAGGTGTGGTGACACACGCCTGTAATCCCAGCTTCTCAGGAGGCTGAGACAGGACAATCGCTTTAACCCAGTAAGTGGAGGTTGCAGTGAGTCAAGATCATGCCATTGCACTCTAGCCAGGGAAAAAAAGAAACAAAAAAGAAAGAAAAGACATTGCCCTTACACTTTACCAACAGCAGCAGAGCTCATTTGTTAATGCCCACTTGGCCTGTCAACCTACATCTGTGTCTCTGAAAAAAACTTATGCTCCTACTATAGACTCTGTAGTAGGAGAAGGAATTCCTCCTTCAACTGCAGGAGACCAGAATATGTATCTTGATCCTGGCAAGAACCCAAGATGTGGCCAGCATCGTAAATTGGTAGATGCAGCATTTAATGGCTCCAAATCATATCTCTTGACTTGAATGGGAGTTTCCCTAAGGACTTAAAGATGAGTCTAAAACTAAAGAGAGAGGAAAAGAATGGAGTGTTTCAAACAATCCCAGAAACCCAGCAGCAGACAGGAGATATAAGATCACCTAGTCCAGTGGGGCCAGGGGGAGCACTGGCTCATGCCTGTAATCCCAGCACTTTGGGAGGCCAAGGAGGGTGCATCACCTGATGTCAAGAGTTTGAGACCAGCATGGCCAACACAGCGAAACCCGTTTCTACTAAAGATACAAAAAATTAGTCGGGCATGGTGGCAACACGCCTGTAATCCCAGCTACTTGGGAGGCTGAGGCAGGAGAATCACTTGAACCTGGGAGGCGAAGGTCGTAGTGAGCTGAGGTCACACCATTGCACTCCAGCCTGCAACAAGACAGAACTCCAACTCAAAAAACCCCACAACCACCACAACAATGATCACCTAGTGTAGTGGTTCTCAACAAAGAATGATTTTGCTCCCCAAGGGGACAGTCAGCATTGTCCGGATATATTTTTTATTGTCACGACTGGGGGATGCTATGGGAATCTACAGGTAGAGGTCAGGAATGCTGCTAAACAACCCACAAGGCACAAGCTCATCTGGCCCAAAATGTCAATAATGCCAAGATTGAGAAATTCTGATGCAGTCTATCTCATAAAGAAACCGAATCCAGGAGAGATCACATGATTTATCCATGACAATAGTGTTAACAGTCAACTTCTTTCTTTCTTTTTTTTTTTATTTGAGATGAGACTCACCAAGTTGCCCAGGCTGGCCTCAAATTCCCGGGCTCAAGCAACCCTCCTGCTTCAGCCTCCTGAGTAGTTAGTTGCAACTACAGGTACATGTCACCATGTTCAGCTGTGTCTTATTTTCAAGTCCAAGATTCTGACCAGCCCAATCTGTTCTGCTCTAAGATTTAGCCTGCTTCAGGTCTACAGATCTGAGATATTAAGAAATGTTTAGTCCTACAAAACATGACAAAGCCAAAAGTTCATGCTTTCTCTGGAACCCTCAATTCAGTCATGCTACAGATGTCAAACCCACTTAGACAAAAGCCTCAGAGAAACTTCCAGAAGCAAGGAAATGCCCCCCCCCAACACACCCCACACATACACACACACAAAGGGCCAGTGTCAGGAGGGCTGCTTCCTTTCCCCAACCTGTGGAACTGGCTACAATGAGATACCAGAAAAACATCCTTTTGGGGTTAGGGCCAAAAATCAAGCACAGGAAGGAGGTGGCGCTCCAGCAAGAGAAGACAACACGAAAAATCCAAAAGAAACACAGGGCATACTAATGCTCATGAATATGTAGGCTGCTTCTCAAGCAATTTCCATATTCCATAGCAGGTGTAAAATTGGTTTATTCATTCTGCAATGGCATGATCTGTTGTTTTTGAATTCCCGTGCTAGCCCATTTTCCACCTCATTTTGTTATCTCACATCACCTCACATTTGAGCTCTTGGTTGATCATTTTATGTTGGGATGATAAATGGTTTTCTCTGGGCTGGTCTTCTTTACCTATATGTTATCTTTTCTCCCCATAAAACATTTATAAAGTTCCCACATGAATCTTCCTCTTTTCTGCTGAAATCATCTAGACCACAGACCATTTATCTACTTGTATCAAAATCACAGGCAGTCTCTGACTCCCTTCCTTGTTCCCCTAAGGCATGATTCGAAGATTGCCCTCAAATTCCAAGGTGAAGGCTGTGTGTTGGGATGATGGTCTGTGCTGCCTGCCTTCTGCCAGGGACTGAGTAGGTGGCAGAGAAATGACTGAAGCTTGTCTCTCCACACTGTAATTTAGTTATAAGTTCTATACCAAGACTACTCTAGTGAGGATGTCTCCCAGGGTCTGGGAGGATGAGGATACCTCCTGGGGTCTGGGAGGGTGTAACCAGTCATGACCTTAGGCTTCACCTGATTTCCTGCTTCAAAATGAGCTGATAGGCTAGTTCAGTATTAAATTCCTGGATTTGTGTTGTTTTTACTTTTGGTCTGTTTATCAGGCTTTTGTTTGCTGCCAACTCTAAGAGACTCTATTTTCTCTCAGCGAGAACAAAAACAAGTGGCCAAATGAGCCAGAGGCTCTGCTATGTTAAGAAACGGGTGTGGTGGTCACCAGCCTCTGGCTGGTGGCTACTCCCCTCCTTCCTTCCTGGAATGCAGTTCTTATAAATGATAAAGTTGTGTTTTTACATTCTGAGTCTGTCATCTTATTTTCTACAATAGATGCGTGGTAACTGACTTAGCAGGCCCATGAAAGTAGAATCCTAATCTGGCAGTATGGAGCAGTGAAAACCAACCAAATGTTCACAGCAGAATCCTCAAAAGTGTCAGGAACTGGCAGCACCAGGAGCCTCTGGAACCTAAAAGAATGGGAGGGGCATAAAGCTTGTTGAGAACCCACTGTCAGCCCACCTCATCCAGTCAGTTCCCAGAATTCTGGTAGCCAGACCTTTATCTCCCAGACAGCAAACAAAAGGAGACCTCTCTGGGGAATGAGAGACCAAGAAGAAAAATCTAAACATTTTGACATTGGGGATTCCCCAACAATCAGCCCACCCAGATCAGGCCCATCCACAATGTGAGAGCTCCCAATCAGTTTATGTTTCTGTTTTGAGACAGGGTCTCACTCTGTTGCCCAGGCTTGAGTGCAGTGTCGCAATCTCAGCTCACTGCAACCTCTGCCTCCTGGGTTTAAACTATTCTCCTGCCTCAGCCTCTCGAGTAGCTGGGATTACAGGTGCCCGCTACCACGCCCAGCTAATTTTTTTGTATTTTTAGTAGAGACAGCATTTCACCTGGTTGGCCAGGTTGGTCTTTAACTTCTGGCCTCAAGTGATCAGCCCACTTTGGCCTCCCAAGGTGCTGGGATACAGGTGTGAGCCACCACACCAGCCTTGTGACTTTTTTAAAGGAATCTTCTTGCTAGTCAATTAGTAACATTACTGAGGAATCAGCAAGAGTCACCCTGCAGGTAATCCACCCTAAGATTATCAAAGGGAAAGCAAACTGCAAAACATTCTGAGTAGCTACACAATAGCCTCATCCTACAATTCTGAAGCAGCACTTTGACCCACAACACTAGGAGGTCTGCAGATTAAGTGATTTTTAAGGACTCTGCCTCACTGTAGTCTACTGCTTAAAGCCTATAGTGTGAAATTCTCCCAGACCAGAGGGTGACTCTTGCTCACTACCAGTGTTTTATTTTCCTCAAGTCCTTAGCAACTAGAACCATCAATTCCAATGTGTCCAGAGACTGGGCAAGGGGCTCCCCTCCAATGCCATCCTGGCCACACCAATGCTCAGAAGAAACTGACAGAAGAGATCAGTGGGTTTGGTTCACCTTGTAATACCCAGTATGGGGGCTCCAGAAACTATTTAGGCCTAAATGTTCTTCCTTTTTCCTCCCTTGGCTACCAAAATGAAGCAGCTTTGTTCCTACTGCCTTAAAGGAGGCTCATGAGGCTCATCTGCGACTGGAGTAGCAGCAACTAGAGAGTCCTCAGCCACATCTGAGCATAGGGTAAGCAGCCTTTCTGCCTCTACACAGTCCTCATGGCTTATACTTGCCATCGTGACTCTACACTGGTATGGAACACGAAGATAATGTTGTGTCTCCAATAGCCACAGAGAAGGTAAAAAAACTGGCCAATTTGATCAATCCAACAGACTAGCACAATCTGACTTCCTACTCTGGGTCACAGTCTGGACTAAATGCTTCTAAGATCCTTTCCAGAGCCAAGATTTTACAATTTGATGCCATCTATTTTTTTTTTTTTTTTTGAGATGGTATATTAGCCCATCCTCATGCTGCTATGAAAAAATACCCAAGACTGGGTAATTGATAAAGAAAAGAGGTTTAGGCCGGGAACAGTGTCTCATGCTTGTAATCTCAACATTTTGAGAGGCCAAAGCAAGCAGATCACCTGAGGTCAAGAGTTCGAGACCAGCCTGACCAACATGGAGAAACCCTATCGCTACTATAAATATAAAATTAGCTGGGAGTGGTGGCATATGCCTGTAATTCCAACTACTCGGGAGACTGAGGCAGGAGAATCGCTTGAATCCAGGAGGCGGAGGTTGCAGTGAGCTGAGATTGCGCCATTGCACTCCAGCATGGGCAACAGGAGCAAAACTCTGTCTCCCAAAAAAAAAAAAAAAAAAAAAAAGGTGCTCACTTTAGCAGCACATATACTAAAATTGAAACGATACAGAGATTAGCATGACCCCTGAGCAAGGATGACACACAAGTTCGTGAAGTGTTCCATATTTAAAAAAAAAAAGGTTTATTGACTCACAGTTCCACATGGCTGAAGAGGCCTCAGGAAACTTACAATCATGGCAGAAGGCACCTCTTCACAGGGCAGCAGGAGACAGAATGAGTGCCAGCAGGAAAAATGCCAGATGCTTATAAAACCTTTAGCGTGATAATGATAACTAAACTCATTATCATGAGGATAGCATGGGGGAACGGCCCCCATGATTCAGTTACCTCCACCTGGTCTCCTCCTGGACACGTGAGGATTACAATTCAAGGTGGGATTTGGGTGGGGACACAGAACAAAACCATAGTAGACAGGGTCTTACCCTGTCCCCTAGGATGGAGTACAGTGGTGTGCCATGGCTCACTGCAACCTTGACCTCCTTGGCTCAAGTGAACTTCCCACCTCAGCCTTCTGAGTACCAACAGGTGTGTGCCACAATGCCTGACTGGTTTTTACTTTTTAAAACTTTTTTTTGGTAGAGACAGGGTCTTGTCACGTTGCTCAGGCTGGTCTCAAACTCCTGGGCTCAAGTGATCCACCCACCTCAGCCTCCTAAAGTGCTGGGATTACAGGTGTGAGCCACCACATTCAGCCAATCTGATGCCATCTAACACAGCATAAAGTCCAAATGCTCAGAGTTTTGCACACTAACTATAACCATTTTCTCATTTCCTTCTCAAAATAATTCTGAGCAATGAAGTTAACACAGGTAAGTGTTGTCTAAACACAGGGGCAACACCACATACAGGAAAACGGAGACGTTTCCAGCGGCCAAGCCTCCCAGCCTAGAAAGTGGGGGCTGTTCCTAAACTGGAGACTCCCAGTGGCTAGCTCAGCTTGCAGTGACTCAATCTGAGATTGGGTCCCATGAATCACAAAATCAGAGACACTGCTGTGAGCCTTGCCTTCCCCCTCAGACTCTTAGGCCTGCTGGCTGCTCTTTCTGGGCTGATCCTGTAAATGCCAGTATCCCAAGGGGTGGGATCCCAGCCCTCTTCTCTCACTCTCCTGTGCATCTGACCTGCCCACACTCTGGCACTAGGTGATGCCAACCTCAAGCATGTCTGCCTGCTGCCCATTAGCATCCCCTCTATGTGGTGCACAGGACCTGAAGTCTGTGTCTATAAAACCTCATCTTCCCCCACAAACCTGTTTCTTCTCCTGCCTTTTATCTCTCAGTGTACAGAATGATCTTCCAACTGGCCACCCGAGCCAGAAAACTAGGACTCTGAAAATTTCAGATTATTTCTCTCATCTTCCTGCACAGCCATCACCATGACCTGACCCTTCTGCATCCTAAGATGCCTTCAAGTCAAGGTCCCCCTCCTCACCCTGTTGCTCTCTCCCTGGCCCTTAGATCACCATCCTCGCCATCATATCCCAGCCAGGACCATCACCACAGCCTCCTTCCTCTCATGCCTCCCACCCACCCTCCACACAGCAACCAGAGAGCATTCTGAACTCAATTCTAACCATGCCTCTCCCCGACTCAAAACCTTCAGTAGCTTTCCACAGCTGCTGAAATAAAGATAAACAACCTTACCAAAGCTAAGCAGGCCCCATGCTCTCCACACACTTCCCACATCTCCAGCCAAACAGAGCCTTTCTTATTGTTTTGCCAAGTTTAGACCTTCCTCTCCCCCAGGCCCCATGGACCCCATATCTCCTGCCTGGCTAACTCCTCATCCTGCAGGTCTCACTCTACTCACTTCATACCCAGGCCTTACAGGGGACTTCCCATGTGTTCCATCATCACCTACATTGCCCTGTCAGGGCACATTCCTGCTGCATCACCACTGTCTGTCTAAATCCCACAAGGATCTGGTCTACTTACACACTACTATATCTCCTGCCCATGCGGCACAGCTTCTGGCACATAGAGACAGCGCAAATATTGGTTGAATGAATGAAAACACTTGGTCCCAGACCCTGCCGGGCCATGCTGGAATGAAAACAGGCTATGATTTGTGGTCCTGGAGTTCTCTAACATCTCAGAAGTGCACCAAATAAGGGGTGGCTACTGGAGACTAGAATTCAAATCTGTACAAATTTGAAATCATATAGCCAGGCTCCAAAGATATTTTTGTCTGTTTTTCTCTACTTTTCTATCTCCCTCTAAATTTTTTTCTTCCCAAGAATAAAACAGGCTTTCCTACTATAATACTTAATATCTCATTCACTTCCAATAAGGTTTGCTCTTAGACTAAATAATTAGTAGACATCAGTGAAAGGTAGAGGCTGGGTGTGGTGGCTCATACCTGTAATCCCAGCACTTTGGGAGGCTGAGGTGGAAGGATCATTTGAGACCAGCCTGGCCAACATGGTGAAACCCCATCTCTACTAAAAATACAAAACTTAGCCAGGTGTGGTGGTGCACGCCTGTAATCCCAGGTATTCAAGAGGCTAAGGCAGAAAAATCCCTTGAACCCCCGTGGTGGAGGTTATAATGAGCTGAGATCGCTCCACTGCAAAAAAATACAAAAACGAACAAAGAAAAAAATTAGCCAGGCATGGTGGTGCATGCCTGCAGTCCCAGCTACTTGGGAGGCTGAGGTGGGAGGATGGCTTGAGCCTGGGAGGTTGAGGCTGCAGTAAGTCAAGGTTATGCTACTGCACTCCCGCCTGGGCAACACAGTGAGACTCTGTCTCAAAAAATAAGGCCAGGCATGGTGGCTCTCATGCCTGTAATCTCAGGACTTTGGGAGGCTGAGGTGGGCAGATCACTTGAGCCCAAGAGTTCAAAACCAGCCTGGGCAACATGCATTTTCTCTACAGAAAATACAAAAATAAGCCAGTAGTCCCAGCTACTCAGGAGGCTAAGGTGAGAGAATCACTTGAGCCCAGGAGATCAAAGCTGCAGTGAGCTGTGATCGTGCCACTGTACTCTAGGCTGGTACATAGAGCAAGACTCTATCTCTGCCCACCCCCGCAAAAAAAAAGAAAAGAAAAAAGGCATGGAAAAAAAATAAGTAAAACCTCATACTTACCAAAAGGAAAACAGTCTCAGCCACCTCACTCTAACTTTAGCTCTTGGAACAGCCTCACAGAGAAGCAACTAATTGAGGCAATTAAATAAGAGGATCATATTGGGGATTCCCAAAGCACTTCCTGTACAGGGGAGCACAGGACCAGGGCTCGAAATTTACGGCTGTTACACTGCCAGTGATAACTATAAAATTTGGCCTGACCACTCCACTAAAGATATTTCATTAGCTGTCAAGCACCTGTTTGTCTCTGAGGTGCTGTGTGCCAAAACCCCAGAGGGAAAACCTTTTGCTGCATGTTCATTTTTGGATGCAGATACATGCTCTCTTGCATTTGATGATGACACTGGAGTCCCAAATCACCTTTTAGGGAAATTTCGCCCAATTTAAACTACTTATCACTGGTTATAAGAGTGACATCCACAAAACAAAGGACTATATTTAGAAGTAAATGGCAATAGCCAGACATAGTGGCATGCACATATAGTCCTTGCTACTCGGGAGGCTTGAGCCCAGAGGTCGAGGCTGCAGTGAGCTATGGATCGTGCCACTGTACTCTAGCCTGGGTGACAGACAGAGACCCTGTCTCTAAAATAATAGTATTTAAAAAAAATAAGTGGTATGAATACTGCATATTAAAAATTATGAAGCAGGGCTGGGCACAGTGGCTCAACACCTATAATCCCAGTACTTTGGGAGGCCAAGGCAGATGGATCACTCAAGGTCAGGAGTTCAAGACTAGCCTGGCCAACATGGTGAAACCCCCTCTACTAAAAATACAAAAATTAGCTGGGTATGGTAGCAGGTGCCTATAATCCCACATACTCAGGAGGCTGAGGTAGGAGAATCGCTTGAACCTGTAAAGTGGAGACTGCAGTGAGCTGAGATCGCATCACTCCAGCCTTGGTGACAGAGGGAGACTCTGTCTAAAAAAATAATAAATAAAAATAAAAACTGCTGGGTGTGGTGGCTCACACCGGTAATCCCAGCACTTTGGGAGGCTGAGGCAGGCAGATCACTTGAGGTGGGAAGTTCGAGAACAGCCTGACCAACATGGAGAAACCCCGTCTCTACTAAAATACAAAAATTAGCCAGGCATGGTGGCCCATCCCTGTAATCCCAGCTACTCGGGAGGCTGAAGCAGAGTGGCTTAAACCTGGGAGGCAGAGGATGCAGTGAGCCGAGATCACACCATTACACTCCAGCCTGGGCAACAAGAACGAAACTCGGTCTCAAAAAATAAATAAATAAAAAACTGGCTGGGTGTGGTGGCTCATGCCTGTAATCCCAGCACTTGGAGAGGCCAAGGTGGGAGGATCACCTGAGGTCAGGCGTTCAAGAACAGCCTGACCAACATGGAGAAACCCTGTGTCTACTAAAAATACAAAAGTAGCCGGGCACGGTGGCTCAAGGCCTGTAATCCCAGCTACTTGGGAGGCTGAGGCAAGAGAATCACTTGAACCCGGGAGGCACAGGCTGCAGGGAGCCAAGATCGTGCCATTGCACACCAGCCTGGGCGACAGAGTGAAACTGTCCCAATAAATAAATAAATAGCTATGAAGCTGGGGGTTGGGTGGGGGGACCTATGGGATTCAAGCAAAGATGTATTCAGATGAAAATTCATATCCTTCGATGCTTTTTGTAGAAAACAAACAAAAAAATTAATAAATTATCCCAGCATTTTATTCAAAAAATTAAAATATGTACACACTATATAGAAGAAACTGATTTTTTTTAAAGGCAAGTAAAATAAGTTTCCAGCAAGTATTTCCATGAAAATAGTAACACAAACAGGACAGAAAGAGAAAGGGGATCACAAACTACAATTGTAGAATATATGTATGTATAGAGCCAGGCGCAGTGGCTCAAGCCTATAATCCCAGCACTTTGGGAGGCCGAGGCGGGTGGATCACGAGGTCAAGAGATCGAGACCATCCTGGTCAACAAGGTGAAACCCCATCTCTACCAAAAATACAAAAAATTAGCTGGGCATGGTGGTGCGTGCCTGTAATCCCAGCTACTCAG